AAATCTAACAATTTAACCTCCAAAACATGTGGTTCCAGCAGAACAAAGCAACTTACCACACAACTAGGAAAACAATGAATCTTTTGCGAACGATATTTCCTGGAAGTTTAATTTTTTGATTTGGTGATGTCAACTGGCCACCAAGGTCACCGGATTTTATGGCTCCTGACTTTTTTATGGGGATTTTTGAAAAATAGGGCTTATGCCAACAAGCCAAATACTGTGGAGCAGCTGAAGAACAATATTACGGAAGCAAATGAAAATATTCGTCTCGAAACCTACCAAAACGTGATGGAAAATGTAATCAAGAGGGCTCAGGTTTACGCGGCTTCTAGAGGCGTACATTACTCTGATATTATTTTTCATACATAATTTTCATAAGTTTCAACAAAAGATTAGGATGAAAAAAAAATTGACGTCTTTTATTTCTTTTCACAAATATTCGAGATACACACCAGTCAGTTACATATCGGCTACCCTGTATAAAAATATTATAGATATGATTTTTATTATATATTTTTCTCTTTTTAGCCATCATTCTTATTTCTGATTCTCCGAGACTACACCTCAGTATATATGCTTGAAATATCCACCTCAGTAGCTACGGGTTAAGTGGTATTACAGATATTCATAATCAACGATTTATTTTTTTACCGTTTTTACCACCTTGTGTCTCAGCAGTTAAAATATTTAGGACATACGATCATATGAAAATTTCATCTTAAAATTGACCTGAAACCACCTCATTAGATATGGACATTCAATTAGGAAACACACTAAACTGCATCTACGAATACTACAAAAGACAAATACAGACTTTTAAACCGAGGGTATCCTGTGCCATAGTTTTAATAGATTTTCCCTTTTAGGTTAAGATTCCAAGTTAATTAACAAAATAATTGAAAAAAATTGTTCCTTACTTTTTTCCATATACATAAGCTACAACATTAATATATGGTGCAACACATTTGAAAAATACAACATATTGTTCTTTGAGGCTCACTACATCGATCTTATTATTGATGATGGCGCTGATGTATTTTTTAGTATGCTCAATAGATGGAGTCGCCATTATTGATAACAATTTAAACCCAAAATTAATACTTAGCAATTTAAATACACATCTAATTCCGTACCTCAGAGCCAGGTTATGTTAATTTTATTTTTGTCTAAAATGAATCTTACAGGATAAGTTCATGATAATGTAAATTATCAAGCACTTTGAAATGTTTGAAATTTGTTTAACTGGAAAAGAAATTTTTTTTATTCCGTTCATAAATTTACAATTTATTGCGTATCCTCCCTTGATGAGTCACAATTTTCTTGTATTTGCCCATTTGTAATTAATTATGGAATTTTATGTCATAAAGTTGTTCTGATTCTACTTCATGCTGCAACTCTATTTTTCTGTCCACTCTCTATAATACTTCATATTGGGTAATCCTACATGACCATGGTATTTTTAGCATCCTGAAATAGCGTTGGTCAATGGTAATTATGATCTTCACATAGAATGATTATACATACTAGTAGCCTGACGCTCTACATAATCCAGGGTCCAACAATGATTTGTCAAAAGGAATCTCTGGCATCATCAATGCAATTGCACTTGTCATAAAATGTTAATTATCCATGGAGGAAGCAACATCTGATAAATTCTGTGAGAATGAATCACATATGAAAAAACTGCGATAAGTATATAAATATGAATATATAATGATTAATTTTGTAACTTACCTACCTTCATGAAGGGAATAGCTTGGTTGTAAGCTTTTGAGCTTTTGCACACCTATGAATACATATCCATTTGCATTAAATTGTTCATTAATACCAGATATGGGATTTTCCTAACCCAACAATTACTTGAAGATACCAAAGTTTGTGGAATTTGCTCCATGTAGGGAATTATTATGGACTACTACTACTATTCGTCATTGTTCGTCAGAGCGGTCAGGTGGACCTTTGCTCTTAGTTAAAAGTCTCGTCGGTCTGTTGTTAGTCTGCCAGGTCTGGCTACCCAGACGCCAAACATGTTTAAGGGGAAAATGGAAAGAAGGAAAGAAAGGAAGGAAGAAATAGAGCAAAGAAAAGAAGTAAATCATTTGAAATAGCTTAAAAAATAATTTTGATCGGTTTTGTATACTGAAATAATGTTGGCTGGTATGAATTCACAATTTAATTTTGATCGCAGTGCGAGGCGCGGGCTGGAATGTTTGCGAACTTACTCCACTGTGTAGTCTACTGAATAACGCAACAGAGGGTTGCTGTGCGATTCGGCTTGATTATAACACCGCTGTGCCTGTTGTTTCACATAATCCCTTAGATATGGGATATCAATATCTCTGTGAATGGTCTCATTTGACACGTACCAAGGGGCGTTAGTGATTGTGCGTAGGGTTCTGTTTTGCTGGACTTGCACTCTGTGCATGTACGTCTTGGCAAGAAAACACCAAGCCGCGCATGCGTAGGTGATTGCGGGTCTTATGACCATTTTATACAACCGAATGTTGTTGATCAAACTTAATTTTGAATTTCTGCATAACAAAGGATAAAGCTGCCGAAAGGTAATTTGGAATTTTGTTTTCAAAATATCAGTATGTTTCTGCCAGGTCAACCCCTTGTCAATGATGACTCCAAGGTACCTGACAGATTGCTCTCATGGTATACCAGTTCCATTCACTGATATCTTTGAGGGGGCACCGCGACGTTTTTTAGTACAATAGATTGCCTGCGTTTTCGAAGTATTAATTTTGATCAACCACCGATCCGCCCACTCCAATACTTCCTCCACCGCACTCTGCAGCCTATCGCGAACCAGGTTACCAGAACAAGACTGGGCTAGCAGTGCAGTATCGTCAGCATAGAGATAGACTTCACAGTTGCTGGGGCAAGGGATGTCATTTATATAAAGTGGTTAGTAGCCAAAATGGAAAACCCTTTTGGATGAGCTTATACAAGAGGCCCATGTGCCACACCTTATCAAATGCCTTTGATACATCTAAAAGCAAGATACCAGTACTTTTGTTCAGGGTGAACCCCCCTGGTTACATGCTCCACCACTCTAACTGATTGTAGCTCCGTACTATGCTCAGACCGAATTGCACGTCAGGAATCACATGGTGATCTGACGAGAGATTCTCAAGGTGACGATAAATCACCTTTTCAGTGAGCTTAGAACGAGCTGACAGCAGGCTAATGTGATGGTAATCCTGGGGGAATATCGAACCTGCCTTCTTTGGGATCATGTTCACTTCAGCGATCTTCCACTCCTCAGGAAAGTAATGAGTTCTGAGCATTGCATTGATTATTGCCACCAGATAAGTCAAAGCCTTGAGCGAAAGCAACTTCAGTGCTTTGTTGGTGATTTGATCCTCTCCAGGTGCTTTACGCACCTTTAGGTCCTTAATGTGGCCTTGGAGCTCTGCTGGTGTGCAAAACGGAATCTCAGAGGATTCCGTTGATGTGCTATGCTGCGATTCATCTGAAGAGTATTCCGTAGAAGAATCTTCTGAAAAGGAGTCACCGATGTTAGCACTGATGTTGTTGTCGCCATTCGCTCTGAAATATCTCCTGACAGATCCTACAATTTGTCGTTCCTCGTCAAGGTCATTGTCCAGATCATAATTGGGAGAGAACTGCTTTTCCATGACGTCAGCAAAAACCTCTTCGGTGATGTGAATAAGATAACCGTTTCGCATCACATGGTTGTAAAGCCGAACCCCACAAGTCGAGTTAAGCCTTGAGTGCCTTGATCGATGTTCGCAGTTGTAGTCCCCTGCCGCAAAAAGAGATCCCAAACAGTCCTGAAGCACTTCCAAGTCCTCCTCTCGCAGCCTGGCAATGCTCCTGACATACATCGAGGTGATCTTCAACGGAATGCATCCCGCCATATTGACCACCACGGAAGCCGCTTCAATGCTTTGCATCTCCTCGTTTGTGCTTCTGTGATAGTCAATACCACGTTTAACGAGCACAGCCAAGCCACCACCCCTACCATTCAATCTGTCAGCGCGTATAACATCATAATTCGAGAAAGCTAAGCGATCTCCCGGATTAAGTAATATACTCTCATCCAATAGAGTTTGATGAAATTCCCGTTTTTTGGGAATATCCCTTAGCCACAGACAATTCCAAAAAAGAATTTTGATAAATGCAAGTTGTCTATTGTACTATTGTACATTCAATGGCTGCGGAAAGATCGCCTGCAATTCCTGAGTGTCGCTAATCAGGGGACTTATTATTTGTTGAAGAGACCTAAGCGCAGTTGCTAGATCCACATTCTGCGTGTTCAATGTGGGTTGAACAGAGAGGGCAGCCGAAGATGTTGAGTCGGCTGCTTCCGCATACTACTTGCCGCGTCTTTGCGCTATGACTTCCAAGTTTCGCGGGTATACCTCTGACTACCGCATGAATATTCCGTTCTGAAGGAAGAGGGAACGTATGATGGGGCACGTCCTCCTCCCTGAACATGCGAACGATCCTGCGGTAGTCATCCTCAGTTTTCGGCAAAATTCTGATTCCCGCATAAACGGCAACTGCGCGTTCTATCTTATTGCCTAAGCTTATAAAGGCGCAGTTTATATTTCGCCACTTTGCCGCATCACGCAAAACAATGGGCGTCATTCGTCCCTCGCGGGGTGCTGTGCTGGTCAACCCACCAGCAACGGGAGATTGTTGAGATAATGCACCGTCAGTCAATGCAATGGGCAAAGATTAAGAAGATGTGGTCGCTGCATCGACAGTCATAAGACAAGTGGCAGAAGAAGTTGATACGTTTAATGAAGCAGACGATTTTTAGGGGACTGACAACTTGAATTTGGATTTTGCTTTTGGAAGAGGTGGGAAGTCATCCGTCTTGTCGGTTTTGATCTTTTTGTCGCTGCGTCTTTTTCTCGACTTGGCCTGGATGAATCCGCCATTCTGTATTTCATCGTCGGTCGATGTCACGTCAGTCAAATTTTCAAAAGGTCTAAAAAAAACGCCCTGTAAGAAGGGTTTTAACAACATTGTCACATTTGCGAGCTTGAAGGTTTTTACGAGTTTGTTGGAAAGAAAAGCTATTTTAATATGGAGGTTGACCCAGGAGGGTTCAAAGAGGAAGCAGTACCACTGATAATGGGGACGGAGCTGAGCGGCGGCGAATCACGTTCAAAAACTGAAAACATGGGCCCATTAACGCAGATGTCATCGGAGCAGAAAACCAACGAGAAACTGATGATGATTATAGACGACCAGGCGAAGAAAATCCGAGAACTCATGCAGACAATCAAGGACCAGACGGGTAAAATTGTCAGCCTGACCGCCCAGGTAACTCTTTTAATAAGTTCCAAATACAGAATACACTCTCTTACGCACCTCCCCCGCTTCATCAAAACAAATTCAAAATTCATTTCCCTAGGCATTAAAATAGATCGCGCGGTTGCTGTCGATGCGGGAATAAGGATTGTTCCTAAATCTGAGGAAGACTAAAGTAAGATCGTTCGTCTGTTCCGAGACAAAGAAGTGCCCATGCCTTTGGTGGTCGTGATACTGCTCAAGACTGAAAAGTATCAGCAAGTGTTCAACGAACACGAACTGCTGAGACTGGCCATTCGAGTTGAGGTTCAGAAAAACTCCAGACTCATTGGGCAGTGTCACCGCTGCCAAAAGTACGGACATGCGCAGTCATATTGCACTGACCGGCTTAAAACAGAAGAGGAAGAGCGCAAGTCCGCAAACTGGGGAGAGGGACATCCCGCAAATAGCCGGACGCAACCTTGCCTACCTCCTCTGCCCAACCTCCCTTGAACACGCAAAATGTGGACCTGGCAACCGCGCTAAGGTCCCTACAACAAATAATAGGCCCACTGAGTAGCGCTACCCAAGCGTTGCAGGCGATATTTCCTGCAAATGTCTAGGTACAATAGTAGACAGCCTGCATTCATCAAAATTCTTTTTTGGAATTGTTTGGGCATGAGGGATATTCCCAAAAAACAGGAATTTCATCAAGCTCTTTTTAATGAAGGTATAGATGTGGCCTTGCTGCAGGAAACGTTGCTTAATCCAGGAAATCGTTTAGCTCTCCCGAATTACGATGTTATCCGAGGTGACAGATTGAACGGTCGAGGTGGCGCTTTAGCAGTGTTGATTAAGCGCGGTATAGACTATTATAGAAGCACTAATGCCAAGATGCATAACATCGAAGCAGCGTCTGTGGTGGTAAATATGGCGGGAGGTATCTCGTTGAAGATCACATCGGTGTATGACAGGTGTGGTGCCAGGCTAAAAGAGGCGGATCTGGAGGTCCTTTTGGACTACTCGGGTCCGCTTATTGTGGCTCGGGACTTCAACTGCAAACATCGAGCATGGAATTCTAGGTTGAATTCCACTAGTGGGATTCGATTGTACAACCATGTAATGCGAAATGGGTACCTTATACTTAGCACTGAAGAGCCGACACACCATCCGTTCAACCATCTTCAGGCACCAGACGTCATCGACTTCGCGATATCTAAAAACTGTAGATACAGTATCTCTTCTCGAATCTTGTATATGTCTAATGACCATCTACCTGTTGTCTTGGACGTGGGCAATGAGCAAACTTCTGAGAAGGAAGGTCCTCCAAGGAAACGCATTGACTGAGAGCTACAAAAGTTGCTCCTTAGAGAGTTTCCCAATATCCCGATTATAGATGATGAGTCTGGAATAGATGTCGCTCAAGCGGAGTGGACAAGTTTCATTCAAGCAGCTCTACAGTGTGCAGCTGTACTTCCTGTACAACGACACGGCAGACCTTTTTTGCCTGCGGACATTCGTCAGAAAATTTCTTACAAAAGAGCCGCTATTAAGCAGGCACAAAGGTCTTGTCATCCTGATGACATTCGTAGGGCTACAAATCTTGTTCATGAAGTGTGAAACGCACTGCACGAACTCCGCAACGAGCAATGGAGCGACTTTCTGGCGGGAATGCTTGATTCAAGTATTCCTCTCTGGAGGGTTGCAAAGTCACTCAGAAACGGAAAGCGAGAACAACTCCCGCACATCCACGGTCACGAAGGCATAGTCTTCAGAACGGAGGATAAGGTCGAGGTTTTCGCTGATGCCATGGAAAAACAGTTCTCTCCCAACTATGATCTTGATAATGACCTCGACGAGGAACAGCACATCGTACGATCCGTCAGGAGAAATTTTAGGGCCAACTGCATTAGCGGAGGCTCTGAATCCTCTTCAGATGACTCTTCTTCAGAAGATTCGTCTGAGGCTCCACATAGCACATTAGCGGAACCCTCCGAGTTTCCACATTGCACACCAGCGGAGCTCCTAAGTCATATTAAAGACCTCAAGGCGCGTAAAGCACCTGGGGAGGATTAAATCACCAACAAGGCGTTGAAGCTGCTCTCGCCGAAAGCCCTGACATATTTGGTGACAATAATCAATGCGACGCTCAGAATCCAGTACTTCCCTGCTGGGTGGAAGACTGCTGAGGTCATCATAATTCCAAAGAAGGTGGGTTCGATATTTCCTCAGGATTACTGTCCCATAAGTCTGCTGTCAGCTCCTTCTAAGCTCGCCGAAAAGGTGATTTATCGTCACCTTGAGAATTTTTCGTCTAATGACCATGTGATTCCTGACGTCCAATTCTGTTTCTGGTCCGAGCATAGCACCGAGCTACAGGCAGTCATGCTGGTGGAACATGTAACCAGAGGGTTCACTCTCAGCATGAGTACTGGCATCTTGCTTTTGGATGTCTCAAAAGCCTTTGACAAGGTGTGGCACGCGGGCCTCTATAAACTAATCCAAAAGGGTTTTCCTTTTTAGCTTCTAAAATTATTGAAATCCTTTCTTGAAGGAAGGAAGTTTCGGATCAAAATTAACAATGTTTTGTCAACAACACGGCCAGTACGGGCCGGTGTTCCTCAGGCTTCGGTCCTAGGACCAATCCTGTATTCGCTTTTTATCCATGATGTCCCTTTCCCCAGCAACTGTGAAGTCTACCTCTATGCTGACGACACTGCACTTGTCGCCCAGTTGTGTACTGGTGATCTGGTTCACGATGGGTTGCAGAGTGCGGTGGAAGAAGTACTAGAGTGGGCGGAACGGTGGCTAATTAAAATTAATCATTCTAAAACGCAGGCTATTTATTGTACCAAAAAACATCGCGGCCCCCCAGCAGAGGTGTCTGTAGACGGCAATCGTGTACCATGGACAAATTCTGCCAAGTACCTCGGTGTCACCCTTGATAAAGGCATGACCTGGCAGAAACATACAGCAGCCTTGAAAACAAAATTCCAAATTGCGTTTCGGCAACTATATCCTTTGTTATGTAGATCCTCCAAATTGAGTTCGATAAACAAAGTTCGCTTATATAAAATGATTATTATACCAGCCATTTCTTATGCATGTGCGGCTTGGTGTTTTCTTGCCAAGACACATATGCAAAGTCTTCAAGTACTGCAAAGTAGAACTTTGCGAACAATTTGCAACGCTCCATGGTATGTCTCAAACGAGACACTACACAGAGACCTTGACATTCCTTACTTAAGGGATTATGTCAAACTTCAGGCGCAGCGACGTTATAGTCAAGCTGAATCGCACAGCAACCCTCTGTTGCGCGACTCAGTGGACTACACAGTGGAGCAAGTTCGTAAACATTCAAGGCCACGGCTCGCACTGTAATAAAAAATTAGCGCGACCTTTTAGTACACTTAAAATTACACTCTAACAAAATGGAATCAAAAATTTGTTTAGTTCACCTCAAAATTAATCCGTGTACCAAGTCAAAAAGCCTAGGTGTCTCCTCTTAAACTAAACGCTTCTGTTTTTCTTTGCTCTTCTCCATTTTTCTTCTCTTTCCCTTTCTCTTTTTCCTCGACATTGTCTGGTTTCTGGGCAACCAGTACTGACAGATTCTACTAGCGTATATTAGACAATGACTAATGGGCAAAGGTCCTACGGACCGCCCAGACAAACAAATGACGAATAGTAGGTCTTTTTAAATTGATAGACTTGTCAGATTTAGAATTAAAATTTTGATTATTGATTAACTGTGTTACCTGGGTGGTCAGGCAGTCTATTTTACTGTTTTGGTCCCTAACTGTCTCAGTCAGTTCCTTTATTTGCTGGGCCTGGCTTTCGATGATCAGGGTCAGGAGCTGGATGGTTCTGTCCTTTTCGTCTGCTACAGCTGGTGTCACCAATTCCTTTGATTTCATGGTAATTTCTGCTCTCTCCTTCTGGCTGGGTCCATTCATCATCAGGGACGCTGGGGGATCGTTACTTTGACCTCCAGAGTCTATCTCGATGTTTTTAAATCGGATTTTCTATCGAAAAAATTTTCCCGACCAAAAATATGACGTATTGTCAATTATTCCTTATACAGGGCGATATTATTATAAACATATTAAACATAACCTAACATCAGAATTGTTGGCACGGTAGGAATCTAAAGCAGCCACACACGTGCCTTACATAAGGATACAAGCTATTATGCGAATCAATGAGGCCATAAAGGCGACCTACAATAATTGTAGGAACGTCTGACGATACGGCACTTAGTGTCGGCAGATACCCTTTTGCCAGTGGTTCTAGTATTTACCCTGATAAGTATATATTTGAGTATGTCAATGGTACACTATACTGCAACTGTGTAAAAATCAACGATTCTTAAATACAAAAGGAACGAATCACATACAATATATATATATATATATATATATATATATATATATATATATAATTATTAATGAATCTCAGTTTTTCAGAGGTCATGTATGTTTTTGTCACTATCCTGGCGCCACTCCTCTGGCAGTTTTCATGCCAATTGTTTTACCTGTTCTTCTTCTTTTTCTACTTTATACTATTTATCATTTCATTACAATGAAGAATATTATAATCAATAAAAGCTGCGACACGCTATAAAAAAATGTCCCACTTTCAAACACAACAGTTACCCTGACGGTCTGTGATCTATCAATCTATACCATTCTCTAGGTTCAAGACCGATGAAACTGAGGACTTGCTATTTTTAATAAAGAACTTTTGAATATATTTAGTTAATGGTATTTATTTCACGTTTAAATATCTTTTTCATATGAGGATCATTTTTAAAGTAAGAACGGATTATACATCGTGTCCGCTCATCCTGCCACGTGACGTCCTTTCAACCTCAGATACTTTTGGCTAGAGCTTTACTGTGGCGCCATTGTTTCACGTCTCTGTCGGTGTTGGTTGTGTGGTTATACTTTCGGTTTCCAAACGCAAAAAAAAATCCTCCTGCTGAAAGCCACCAGTAGGTTGATGAACTAGACGCGCTATCCAAAACCGCACGACAACGCTGGGTCTCACGTTGCGGAAAGAATACAGACGCAAATGGGCAAGCTTCGTTGGGAATTACTGGATCATCCACCATGGAGCCCTGACTTACACACATTTTCCCCTGGTACCTATAAAAGCTGTCAAACTCAAAATATTATCTGACCCTGTCAAATATACAATGTGTTTGGTCACGACATACCGATATTTAAGGGCGGTACTTTTCAGCTATTTTTATCGACAAATCCACCCCCTACAATGTCCTACCTCACCCCCCTTGAAATGGCAGCCATTTTTATTATTACGTTACGATTACGCTAGTGCATGTATGAAAATTGTAATAACTGTCACAGAATGATAAATTTGGTGTCATTTGAACGAAAAACATGTCCTAGCGATTACTGAAAAACTTGTATTGATACCATTTTCGATTATTTTGAAAAATCTGACCCTAGCACATCTATTAGTAGTTTATACTAAACTACGCATAAGTTTTACTTTGTTTCATCCATACCCAGAATGTTTATGTACCATATAACGCTGAACATAATAGTACAAACAGTAAACAGCGACAGGAATTGCTCCGATTTATGACTGCAATGAACTAATAAAAATATCGGCGTCTCTAAAGATGTTTACATTTATTCCCTTTTAAGTGGTGTTTCACTGATTCTTATACATCTTTAGCTTGAATAGTCGTATTATAGGTGGTAATAATGAATCATTGTCATATATGCCTTATCTATTTTCTCTTTAAGAAAGTTACTGTCCCAAAATATTTGAGCGGTAGTGTGTATATATATACTCGTATAAAGAGAATATGATCATGCGGAGAAAGGTATATATATATATATATATATATATATATATATATATATATATATATATATATATATATATATATATACTCGTATATATATATATATACTCGTATATATATAGTGCTTTTCTTTAATGTCCCCCTCCACTTTGATTTTTTGAACGGATCAATTCAAAAGATTAAAACTTGAGGTAATGAAATTTATACGTGGATACCATATTTTAGGTTGGATGACCTGGGGGCTTTTTGATGTTTACACTACCAGCAGCTGTAAATTTAGATACAAGTTCCCTTAAATATTTTCTACAGATAGGACGATTCAGGAAACGATCATTAAAAATCATTTCGGTCTCGTGAAAGCTACGCGTCGCACCATAAATAAAAATCGCTTCGATTTTTCTTCCAATGGACGAAAATTGACTATTTTAAAAATTGTTCAAACAGTATCTAGCACTAAAACCAAAAACTAAATAAGAATATTTTAACTGTACGATGATGCTTGTTTTCGCACTGATATTCTTGTCACTGTCAACAAAAAATAACAAAACAAGTTTTTATCGCTGTTGCTGTGGATACGGCAGGGAATTGCAATTATTTGTAGAGATATGCATGTTAGTGGGTTTGTGTTCAAGTAATTATTAAATGTACCACCATTTTGTAGTAGGTAAAGGTATTGACTTTATATTCTAGGGTTATAAAGTACTCGTCAGGAGCTTCAAAATGATGTGCCACAAGACCCCCGTTTTCATATAATTTTTCCCAAGATGTCGCCCAGCGGCCATCTTCACATTTTCATTTGTCAATTTTACTCTAAAATGCGGTATCCACGCATCAATTTCATTACCTCAAGTTTTAATTTTTTGAATTGATTTGTTCAAAAAATCAAAGGGGAGGGGGACATTAAAGAAAAGCACCGTATACATACATATATATGTTATATCCTTAAATTTCTTTGGGTTGAAGGCAAAGGTTTTGCATAAGTACGCTCATATAACTTGAACTCGAGCTTTCGATGGTGTATGCCATCATCGTCTGGAGCTAAAAAACAATTTTTGAAAAATAGCAACAATAAACAATTAGAAGGAAAATAATTACGTATCAAGTCAACGAGATTGTTGTTGAAATTGTTCTTAAACGACAGTGAAAGGGAACACATAGTCGACGAACAAAAAAATGGACCGATGAGGTTCGATTAGGACGGTTTTTTTTATATTCATTAAAAAATGGCAACACCTTAGCTATATATATATCACTTATCACATAACAGGTGTAAGATTTAAGGGCAATAATTATTTTATGCGGACTGCATAAGCGCGTAGAAAAAATATTATCGAAAAAACGTATTGACTATTTAAACACAAATAGTATCCTGCCTTCCACGCAGTCCATATTTTAGCAGGCTTTAGCTGTGCAACTAACTGCACTGCTTCATATAACAGACGATATAATACGGTCGTCAGTCAATCGTCGTCAACCATCCTTGTGCTGTTAGATTCTAGTAAGGTTTTTGACACGATACTCGTAGATCATGTAAAGCTTTTAGCTATCTTAAAATCCTGCGGAGCATGTCTCGAGCTCTTGCAGCTTTTCAAATCATACTTGGAAAATCGTAGTCAAAGTCAAGCTTGGCTTTCGAAAATCTGTATCCATGCCAATTAAATCTGGTGTGTTACAAGGTACTGTGTTGGGACCATTACTTTTTATACTATACACTACTGAGTTGACCAAGTTTATTAAAACTAGTTCAGCACATATGTATGCGAATGACACGCAGTATATTATCCTTTCTCGGTGACTTACTGGAAAACAGTGGGTAACCAAGTTAATCAAGATCTTGCTACTCTGGCAGATATTACAGCAAAGCATTCACTCCTATCAAATCCTAGCAAGTCTGTCGCGATGGTATTTGCTAAAAAATCTGATCGCCAGTTATTTTAAGCAAACCTTAAAATATATGTAAATAATACTGGCATTGAAATTATATGTAAGGCAAATAATCTTGACTTACTCATTGATCAGGATCTGGGGTTTAAGGGTCACGTAATGAAATGCATACAGAGAGCATCCACCGCTAAAATTACTCTATCCCCACAGATCATATTTGTCAACAGACACTAAGAACATGTGCGATACTCTAGTACTTTCACAATATATCTACTGTGCACCTGTATTTGGTCCATGTCTAGATCAAAACTGCCTTAATCGTATTCAACGTGTATAGAACTTATGCACTCGATTCATATATGGAATTAAAAAGTATGAGCACGTTTCACACAAATTGAAGGAATTAAATTGGCTAAACATGGAGAAGATTGCGCTCTCTGTAAAATTCACCTGTAATACTGATTTAGGATTGCAACCATACCTTGAGACTACATTTCTGAAACATTGATATTTGATATACTTTTCAGTTCTTTCTATTACAAGAGAAGCACATTTGTAAGACAAGATACAACCTACATATTTGTTGAAGATAGGCAACGCGAGGCCCCAAGCCGCTCCAGTTTCGAATGACTACCTAATAGCATCGCTATCTCAAGGCAATCACATCACGAATACTCAACTGCAGGCTGTGGTGGCGAGACCGATTTTAATTTGGGAAGGACTAAACCAAAACTATCCTTATGCACATTTGAGTACAGGCAGTACAATGTGGTTTCAGTTTAAACTGGTATGGTAACTGCTCCATAAACTTGACTAGATGTATAAATATGTAGTAGTAATACCTTGTACATAAAAAATAAGCTACACAAATACCGTAAATACGAAGTCTATAAATTAAGTGATGTCTGATTTTCTTTAATTTTTTTATTCAAATATAATTACAATTTTAAATTGTCACCATCAAAATAACTTCCTTCTGAAGCCACACAGCGCTGGAGACAGACACTATTTTTGGGTTGTGTTTCCATCAGAAACGGATGGTCCCCAATAGAGAGTTATTTCACATTTCTTAAACATCGCGCGCTTCAATCATTTGAGGGTCCTCTCCACCCACTTCGAATATAGCGGATAGAATAGACCATTTATAGGTTCTACGAATAACTTCTGTTTTCATGAAGTTATAAACCACACTTTTTGCGGATGCTTTTTACATGATAATGAAAAGATAATTAAGTGCCCTATTAAGAATTTGAATTCTCTGCGTTTTTTTTTAATTCCATGATCTGTTGCTAATCTTAAAAAAGTTACAAGAGCAAGCAATAAAAACTGGGCAAAATGAAAAATGCAAACGTCACAATAAAGATGTAATTAGAGGCTATTAAGAATTTGAGTGCCCCGGAATGTCAATTTGTCAATGACATATTAAAATTGTAGTTGTAGAAAAGGATGTGTAGGTTACAAAAGGTAAACTGTTGAAAATTTGTATACAAAGTGTTTGGATGCTTCCCTTTTTACCTCTATCGTCAATTATCCTACCTGTAGATAATGAAACATACTTAATGGATATCTTGGAGCTTGCGTGAGAACGCTACGATTGCCTTTTTACAGTCCTTTTCGTTTTTCCTGTCTACGTTCAAACAATGAAACTACGGATGCCTTATAATGATTACAAGTTATTATGAGAAAAATGCTTCCCATTCTCAGAAAGACTCACAGACTGCAGTAATGTAAATGTAAAGCAATCAATACCACTGATGGAAAAAATAATGGATGACTGAATGCAAGGCCTCTTCTTTGCACAATTGGAATGAAATCCTGCTCGCTTTTTGACGTTTTGTTCGCTCAAAGACTCACAACACTTACTTAACTTTTAACCTACCCCTACGCACTGGGTTTTATACCCTAGTAAGATGTAAAGATCAATTTCTTGAAAAATTAAGACATGACAGAACTCAAACTGTGGCATAACGTGCTATTCAGGGTATTACAATATTATTAGGCCAGTTTTACGATTCTGCTTAAATTAAACTTACCTCAACTTGGAAGCATATTCACATTCTATTGTAGCTCTGTCTTTCACAAACTGTCCATATTTTTCTAAAAAGTCGATTCCTTTCAACGTATGCATGGAAAGGTTGTCATACTGGTCCTAGAAGAAAAAAATAGCATTTCAGTAGCAGATAAAATTAATTACAACGCAGCTAGATAGTGTTTACAATTTTAGAAAGTACCTGCAATGATTAGCCCAAGCACGTTCAACTGTTGATACAAATAAATGAGTAGTTTTTTTAGTTTCGCTATGGAGTCGTTCTTCATTACCGTACCATCATGTTTGCCATAATCATTCAACTAAATAATGTGACGAAGAAATGAAAAATGTATCTGGTGAAAATAATCCATCCTTGAGGACTATCTATAGATGGTACTTATATTTCAAATGTGGTTTATATCGTTTAGAAAACGATTAATCTTCAGGCCTGCGATTGGAAGTGGTTACCGAAACAAAGACAAGCGAATCAAATACAGACAGAAGAAACCGTCAATATTTCCAAACGATGTATTGAGCGAATTATAACCGATTAATTAACTGTTAGGATACATTGTACCTCTTGGGTAACCCTTATATAGACGGATGAAAAGAAGATGGCAGGAATTACTCTACTGTAAATTTGGTCATCACAAATGACGGATGTTAGCTATATATGCCAAGTGTTTAAAATTCGACCCTCACCATTGGGATCTCGAAAACGGAAAGAGATACGAAGTGACCTAAATCGGGGCAAAGTTGCGTATTTAGGTAACTAACAAGATGCCGCTTAGAAAGTTTTGAAATGCAAAGTACTCCCATGGAGAGACGGAAAATCCAAATTCTGCCAAATTCGTTTTACGTTTTACTAGCTTGTGGAGTGGGATTTTAAAATAAATTGCACATTAACATTCTCGCATTTTCTCCACGACAAGGTGGTGAAATTAGAATTTCAATATGACGTTTCGTTTCTTGTCCTCCAGCATCAACTTTATTGTTTCTAATAGACGCCATATTTTATTATTCCATAGATAGTGTTTTTAATTCTTATTCCAAAATTATATAATACCTGGACATTGCCAAACCTTAGTTATTTCAAAGAAATAGTATTTCCTAGGTAGGCATTGAAATTAACAGATTAGTCATTAGTTTCCTTCACCAGATTTTTCACATATTTATTTTTTCCTGTATTCTTTTGATTTCCGAAATAAATTACGTGTTCTCATTGCCACTTTTCTCGTCTACTACCATAATTTCAAAACCTCCCTAGGAAATTGTTTTCTTGATATAACTAAGGTTTGGCAATGTCAATGTACAACACGTTATACATTTTTGGAATAAGAATTACACTATTCATCTGTGCAAAAATACAATATGGCGTCCATAACAAAAAATAAAGTTGATGGTGGAGGACGAAAGACGCACCATCATTTTGAAATTCTGATTATGCCTTATTGTAGAGGGGAAAAAGTCTCAGTGTTAACGTGCAATTTATTTTTAAATCCCACTACAAATAAATTCAGGCAAAACTAAAACGATTGAGGAAAAATTCCGTTTTTTTTCATCTCTCTCCGGAAGTACTTCGAATCTTTCTAAGGGGCATTTTGTTAGTTAGCTAACAGCGGTATCGCCTGTATAAGAGAAATGTATTTTTAAATTCAAGTTTAACAACTTTTTAGGTGACAAGTAAATATAGTATCTATTCTTTTTTTGTCTAATAAAACAAATGTTAACTATTCAAGACCTACTTAAAAAAAAGTGTCAACTAGCCTAATAGCAGCATGAAGGGATGAAGGGAGAGCAGGTACTTTTCCAATTAAACATGTGCCTGCAGCTTGTTTAAATGGAAAATGCACATGTGCCGCAACTTGTAGCAGATTGTCAGAACGTCTGACATACGAGGTCTGTAAATTAAGTGATGAGACTGGCAACGTCGCGTTCGATCTGGCAACACTGTAGGCGCCGAGCTTGGAGGATAGACAGGGAAAGATGTGATCCGCCTTCGAAACAAGTTTGAACTCGCTCGACTAATTTCTTTGTCCGTAGCAATTTTTTTCTGCAAAACAGTTTTTCCTATTGTGATCTGAAAACGAATGACATCAATTCCGAGCAACGGTGTGCTATCAGGTTTTGCTTCAGACTTGGGCACATGCAACGGAAGCTCTTGCTAAACTTCAGCAGGCCTAGAGATATAGTGTTTTGTCAAGAGCCCAGGTTTTTCGGTGGTTTCAGAAAAGAGAGTGTATTGAAGATGAACCACGAAGCGGAAGGCCTTCATCTTCAAGACCCCATGAAAATATCGACAGAAGTCTATTCCAGTATCGGAGTTCCAGCAATGCTATGATGAGTGGAAGAAGAACCATCTTCAGCGCCGTGTGGCTATGCGAAAGGTATTTTGAGAGTGTGCAATATAAAATTGTAATTATATTTGGACAAAAAAAAAATAAAAAAGCAGTCACATCACTTAATTTACACACCTCGTACGTTGCGCAACATGCGCCCGGCACAGTTTCTTCGATATCTGTAACATTTTGTCCGTACAATAGTGTCAAGCACATGTTGCAAACTGAAATGTCAACGAAGCTTGTCCCAACATGTTGCAGACTGTGCAAACGTCTAGCACATGATGCGGTGCATCTTGTAATGGAAACGAAATCAAAATGAGTTCTAAGCATTAAATACTTAGGTAAAGTCATGCACATTACACAATGAAGAAAGAAATATAATATGGTATGAAACTCGCAGAAACCATCTATGATTATACTAATAAATCTTACATGGTTTTAAATTTAATTAAAGTCAATCAATATTGTTGCTTTTTGAGTCAGTTTTAGGCCATGTACGAGGCTAGGCAGGTCATGATCACGATTACAGAGTTGTTCAATGTCAGTGCGTTTTTCCTTTCTTTTATTAGGTCAGATTTAATCGGAAATTTACTGCTTCATTCGAGATCGAGGATATACGAGAGTTGTTGCAAAATAATGTTTGGAGAGTTTTAGAAAAAAAAAATGGAATTCTGGACCGTATAGGTGTATTTTATTGACAATGCAACTTTTTTGTTATATTCATTCAAAGATTAAGGTAAGATTTCTGTTAATTTTCAATTTAGATTTCATTCATGATCTGTATTAAAGAGTCAAATTATAATTCGGTGTGTTTATAAACATTTCCAGTACCAGATAAATAAATAAAGAGCACATTTTGAAAATATGATCGTCGAAATGCAACCCCGAAACTCTATTACAGAGTTGTCTGTAGTCAATGCGCCAAAAAAAATCCTACAATAAAATTCTAGGTTCTCACGCTATCGTGATACGCGCGTTCGCGGAATTTTCTCTGTCTGAACGAGGTGTTGTGAGTTTGCCTCTGACGTCATCGGGAAAGAGGCAAGTCCACTTCCGTTTATGCTCGGTATCAAACACGTTTGATTTTCAGGGGTGAACGCGCAAGTCGGGAGGCGAAGGCAACTGGTAATCACCAAGAGGTGGTGACTCAGTGACGCTTTTTCTTCCGATTTTATTTACTGACGAGAAATTATTGTGATCGCGAAAAACTTCGAAAATAAGTTATGTTTTTTGGATGTTATATGACATGGACCTTCATCACGATAAACTATGTCACTCATTTCTATCGGTCTGACTATAACATGTAATGGGATTTGGATGCTGTTGTCAAACAAGCTTACTACTGTGACAATGATAAAAAACTTTGTAAAGTTTGAAAATCGGTCCAGTGGCGGTGGAGCAAGTAAGTTGACTCTGTACTGCCCACGCTACGCTGATATCAGTTCATAAAGGATTATGTTTGTCACAAGTTAACCTTTCTGAGAAACAAGTTAGCCACGAACATGTACAACAAAAAATTAATTAACCTTCCTCCTCCTCCTGAGAGGAATTTCTGCTGACGCACATGATGGATAGTGTGGAAGCGATTGCTGACTGTAAGTCAGGGGATGACGTCGCACATATAGACACCCGACTGTATGGAATATTTCAAGGGTAAATGTACGGTGAATTCCATGATTAGTGAAATATGACTATTATGTGCGTGAAATTACTGGGGTTGGAAGCGTATAAATATACCAACGTCAAAAAATTGAGATATATCCAACCCCAACCCTTGCAACCCCTAACCCCCAATTTTTAACCCCTACACAAATTTTTCTGAAAATGATCAGGATCGTCTAAAACATCAAAAAACAAAGTTTGAGCGACTATTTTTTTTTGGCCCTTTTCTCCGCCGCCACTAAACGATTTTCAAAAACTACAAAACTTTTGCGTTTCATCGAAATTTGAGCGGTACTTCTCAAGTTATAGGCGGTTATAAGATTAGACATAGAAAGACAGTCCGACTGAAATGAGATGCGGCTGAAGTTCTGATCGATCACATTCTGATCGAAACGGTCAAAAAGGCAGCAGTGACGAAAATTTGCCATTACCACCTCTACTGACGTAATTTGGGTCCAAATAAACATAAATCGATGCGGTTTTCACGTAGTTCGATTGTATTAATGGTTTTCTATGTATTGTAAAAGTTTTATCTCCCTTCTCCAAAATCTTCCTCAAAATGAGGAGAAACGCGAAAAAATTGATATTACATTAAAATAAACCTGGAGAAATGCGGTTTCCACGTAAATTGATTAGAAAAAGCATATTTTACTTACGCTAAGTTCAAATCCGTGCTATGTCGTTCACACATACCCCAAATTGACCCCCCATTAAAACCTAATATTTTAGAAGCTATATAATCGTCTATAGCTTTTCAAAACTGCCCAAGACCAAAATGTTTTGGACACTGCTCGCATGAATATGACCTAGTCAATCACACCATATCAGCCGTTTTCCCAACCCAGGTCCGGAACCCTCCGTTTTGGACCCCTCTTTATTTATACATGACAAATCTGAAAAAATCTATTATTCGTTAAAACAGCCGAAGACAAAAAAGTTTTTTACATTTCTGGCATCAATATAATATAATGATGGTATCGCGTCGCGGAATCGCGTTTTTAAAAACGACTTACAAGCGATTTGATACTTTATTCTACTATAAATATAATGTTTAGACTAACAACGATATGTTAGCAAACCTAACCTAA